CAGCTAGAACTAGGGTTTATACACCAATCATTGTAGTTCCAGCCATACGCTTAATAAAATCCATATTTGTCTCAATATCTCTCAAATTTCCTTGCATATCCCCACCTCTATTTCTTCTTAGACTTGAAAAGACCATCACCAAAAAAATACCTAAACAGTTTGGCGCTACAAAGAAGGGGAGTAACCTTAGCTACGTGACGATGGTAATACAAGAGACCGACAAGCTGTCTCAAGCTACTTAAAAAGAGATCGAGCTGCAATCCCGACTCGATAATCTCCAAAGCCAGATTACCAAGCTTCATCAAGCTCGAGAAGCAACCAAAAAATACCTAAACAAGAAGTATGATGATGGTTAAACAACTCTTTATCACTTTATGGAGTAGAATCTCCAAAAAACTCTTATAAACCAAAACTCTTATGAGAGATTTTTGGTAAATTTTTATATTAATATCTACGTAACGCTAGGTTAGATATGGTTGATTAATATAATTATATGTTGTACTACTATATACATGTTAATATAACACAGAGACGGTGAACCTTGATGGTTGCAGACTCTCATATCAGTATTTGCATATAATTATTAGGGAAACATGGACAATATGTACGTAAAACTTGGGGCAGAAAAAATATCAGGAAAACTGATAATACATATCTATCAAAATATATATTTCAACTCAATATTTGTTTTTTTTGTATTTTTAACTCATAAATCTACTTAAATCTATATTTAAATCAAATCTTTAAGCAAATCATTTTGAATAATGCTATATCTAACTAGGATAAAACTTGCGCCTTGCACATGTTGAATATATGTAATGAAAATATAAAATTTTAGCATTGACAAATTTAAAATTTACATATGATTGTTTTTATATGTATTTGAAATTTTACAATTTTGAAATTTTTAGATAATTATCTATACGTAGGATCAGAAACAATTGTAATTAAAAATGTAGATCAAAGCTTAGAATTTAATTGACCCGACTTCATATATCTTCTCAATTTTCAGTGTTCGAGTGATGGAAAATAAACGGAGTGTCACTATGCTTGATTGGTAAAGTATTAGCAAGTTCTCTAATGCTTTCTTAAGAAGCAGTTGGTAAAATATTTGCATTTAAAATATATAAGTTTCAAAACTAATTTAATATAATTTATTTATTTGTCTAATAATATTCGAAAATTATATTTTTACAATTTAAAAAAAAAAAATTTATAAAAATTAAGTTAAATTTTAAATTATTTTTAAAAACAATATTTTAAGTTTTTCAAATACAAATAAACAATTTAAAATTAGTTATGGTCATGATTTAACATAACCATAATGATTTAAAAAATAAAAATAAAATTAACAAATTAAACATTAACTCAGATTTATATCATGATTTAACAATTTAAAAACTAATTATGGTTATGAGAAGTTTACGTTTACGTTCACGTGTCAATCCTATTTATCTTCAAATTTTTCTCTTGTTGTGTTTTTTATTTAGTTTTGGTTATTACTCAATATAAATAATTATTTTGAAGTTTATTCTCATTTCGTTTGTTTGTTTTGACATGAGATTTAGAAAATACTTAAGATTTAAAATAATTAAAGAGATACATACTTAGGTTAAGATCTGCACTTTATGCACAATAAATATTTTATATTTATTTTATATTTTTCTGCATATGGTAAAATAATAAAATAATAAATATATATATTAAATAACTAAGAAATCAGTTACTATTATGTAATAAATTGGCGTATACATATAAATTTAACTATCACTCTTGTTTATTCGCAATTAGGGTAAATAAATCAAAATAATCAATCTTATATATTGTATATGATATATAATTAAATTTAAATGATGTAAGCATATTAATATAGCACACTTTTAATATGGATATTTATTAAATGAGGTTTCTACTCATATGATTTTATGATTATTTGCATATTTGTGTAACAAAACCTTACACCAACGATTTTTTTTTTTAATTTGAGATGTTTAGTAGTTTCAATAATTTATAATCATTTAAAAAAAAATTGACATATTTGAAAACTAAAATATTAACTTTTCAGTATATGTTCAATGCAAATATCAAAATAGAAGTATGTATTTTCATACGATGTATAGTTTAATTAAAATGATATGAAATATATATAAATTAAAATTATTTCTTCATATGGTCTTATAATTATTATATTTTAATATAGAAAAAAATAAAAATTTGATCCTAAAATTTTATGTGATACTTTTAACAGTTTTAGTAATTTATACTCATTTTAAAAAATTTGAAATACAACATACACAAAAAAAATCTAGATTTTTATTATATGAGTAATGTAATTGTGTAATTTATTTTAATAATAAAGAAATAAAAAAAATGAGAAAAAGTATATAGAATGTTATCAAATATTTATGTTTAAAATCATTAATTGTCATATATATATTTTAATCACATTAGATAATTCAGTAGGTTTTATTTAAGGAAAGCATGTGAAACAATAAATATTTGATATATGCGACCAAATATATCCTACGAAATATTATATTGCTAGAGAGTATAAATTTTATACTATACATTATATCACATGTTTTAGAATCATTGAAATTTGAAATAGAAGCCAAAGAACTATGCCACATAGTATTGAAATTATTTTTAATTATTACAAACTTAAGGTTACAACTTTTAAAATGATTCTCAATTAATATATAGGGATTTGTATTTTGAAATCCAATAAAATATACAAACTAATAACACTCTCTAAATGAAATTTTAAAATCTATATAATAATAGTACACTTTTGAAGCTCCTCAGCGTGTCCACGTCAGCAAGTTTGCGGGCCCCGCGTGTGTTATTAGGGAAAACAAAAACGTATAACATTTTGTAAGATTGAATGTTATTGATGAGTGTTGAAATGGCATAGTGGTGTAAGTTGGTGACGAGAAGTTGGTACCGCGAGCGGCGCGGGTTCGAAACGCAGTGCTTGCATAGTTGCATGTAATTTTTTTTTTTTAATTTGGGCTTTTCAGGATACCTAAAAGCTTAGGGAGATTAGGGAGATTCAAAATGTTTTTGCGATACAAAATGGCTTAAGGATTTGAAACTTTATGAGACCATCTTAGATACTTTTATAAGAAAGGTTATCATGTTCTAACCTCCAATATCATTTCAATTCAGTTATAAATATCTAATAAAATAAAAACATATTTTTCAATAATAAATATTTACCCCGAACCCTTCTGACCGGCCATAAATCTCATATACATCACAAATTTAAAAAAAATAGATATATACAACATAATTTCATAAAGAAAATTACACTAATAAACACATGTCTTTTTTTTGTCTTGTCTCCATTAAATTATTTTTTAAAATCATTTTTTTTAATTTGGGCTTTTCCGGATACCTAAAAACTTAGGGAGATTCAGAATGATTTTGTATGCTGGTTGTTGGGATACAAAATGGCTTAAGGATTTGAAACTTTATGAGACCATCTTAGATACTTTTATAAGAAATGTTATCATGTTCTAACCTCCAATATCATTTCAATTCAGTTATAATCATCAAATAAAATAAAAACATATTTTTCAATAATAAATATTTACTCCGAACCATTCAGATCGGCCATAAATCTTATATACATCACAATTAAAATATATATATATATATATATATATAATTTTTATGCTGGTTGTTGCATATAATTTTTTTTTTTTAATTTGGGCTTTTCGGGATACCTAAAAGCTTAGGGAGATTAGAGAGATTCAAAATGAATTTTTATGCTGGTTGTTGCGATACAAAATGGCTTAAGGATTTGAAACTTTATGAGACCATCTTAGATACTTTTATAAGAAAGGTTATCATGTTCTAACCTCCAATATCATTTCAATTCAGTTATAATCATCTAATAAAATAAAAACATATTTTTTCAGTAATAAATATTTATCCCGAACCATTCAGACCGGCCATAAATCTCATATACATCACAATTAAAAATATATATATATATATATATATACAACATAATTTCATAAAGAAAATTACACTAATGAACACATGTCCTTTTTTGTCTTGTCTCCATTAAATTTTTTTTTAAATTTGTTTTTTTAATTTGGGCTTTTCGGGGTACCTAAAAACTTAGGGAGATTCAGAATGATTTTGTATGCTGGTTGTTGGGATACAAAATGGCTTAAGGATTTGAAACTTTATGAGACCATCTCAGATACTTTTATAAGAAATGTGATCATGTTCTAACCTCCAATATCATTTCAATTCAGTTATAATCATCAAATAAAATAAAAACATATTTTTCAATAATAAATATTTACTCCGAACCATTCAGATCGGCCATAAATCTTATATACATCACAATTAAAAAAAAAAAAATATATATATATATATATATACAACATAATTTCAGAAAGAAAATTACACTAATAAACACATGTCTTTTTTGTCTTGTCTCCATTAAATTATTTTTTTACATGAAAGCACTAATAACAGTAATGCTCGATAAAATCATTAATAAAGGGAATGCTCGATAAAATCACTACGAAAATAAAATATGAAAATATCAACCCATATGAATTCGATGTTTATTCTTTATCAGACTAATCAAGTTGTGTAACTTCTAATGTTTCATTCATCACCATTATAGATAAGTCAGATAAACAAATGTTAAAAAAACAGCAAAGTCTCATACACAAAACATCAACAACGTATCCAACCCCGTGCTTGCGCGGGGACTATGCATCTAGTTTTCAAAGTCAATAACCCTCTTTGCAGCCGAGTATTGTACATTTTTATGGCGACAATGAAAGTGGGCTTGATGGTGACAATGAAAGTGGGCTTTATGGTGAAAATGAAAGTGGGCTTTTAAAAGCCCATTTATTAGCGAAGCGACGGAGTAGCTCCAAAAAAAAAAGAAACACAAAGGATGACGACTCTCTTCAACATCGAGAAGACGATTTGGAAACTCTGATATTAAAGTTTTGGGGGTGATCCCACGAATGGCGGGGCAGAATCCAAACATGGATCAATTCGAGGCGTACTTCAAGAGAGCAGATTTGGACGGAGATGGTCGGATCAGTGGAGCCGAAGCTGTTGGCTTTTTCCAAGGATCTGGCTTGCCCAAGCAAGTTCTCGCCCAGGTTTTTTTTTTTTATTTCGATCTCTGCAGCTTTCTGATTGTTTCCTAGAGAAAGATCTGATTTGGGTTTTCCATAAAATGCCGTAAATTTTGATTCTTTCAATTGATTTGCATGCTCTGTTCTGAGATTTCGAATAAGCTATAAACTTGCTTCAAAGGAGCAACCTTTACTAGGATCTGTTGTGAGAAGTTATAAGTGTATGTGAGTAAGATTCTTAGGGTTACTTTGCTAGGATCTCATTGCAATTGCGGAGAAAACTCAGTGGCGTTTATTCATTGGTGATAGAGAAGCTGCTAATATTATTTCAGATTGTTGTTTTAAAGCTCTGTTTCCCCCTTATTTGGTGTATCAGTAATTATGACATTATGTATATGAATCTGGAAACTTTCTTGCGTAAAACTTTGTTGGGAGGGGTTCTATTAAGTGATGTTTATATAAAGTTGTTGTGTTCTGCATTTTGTAGATATGGTCGCTTTCTGATAGGTCACGCAGTGGTTTCCTTGGCCGGCAAGACTTTTATAATTCTCTGAGGCTTGTTACAGTTGCACAGAGCAAGAGAGACCTGACACCTGAGATTGTTAATGCAGCACTCAATACTCCTGCCGCTGCCAAAATACCACCTCCCAAAATTAATCTCTCAGCTATTCCTGCACCCCAACCTAATCCTGCTGCTACAACAGCTGGTCCGGTTGCCTCAACAGGTCATCAAAATGTGGGGTTTAGAGGACCAGGGGCTCCAAATGCGAATGTCAACCAGAATTATTTTCCACCTCAACAAAACCAGCAAGTGAGACCAAATCAAGGAATATCTGGGCTCACTTCAGTTAGACCAACTGGTGGTCCAGAATATAGACCAAGTGCCTTACCTGGTCAATCTCAACCAGCTCCTGTCGGTAATGTTACTCGTCCTCCTCAAGCTGCTGTTCCCACTAGTACACCTGGTAGTTCAGCGTTCAATCTTAATAATTTGTATGCTGGAAGTGGAAACACCAGCGGATACTCATCAGGCTTTGGAGGGGGCAGCTTAGCAGCACCATCTCCTGGATTAAGACCAGAAACACAAATTGATTCAAGAGCACTGGTTGTATCTGGAAATGGAGGTGACATGTTTTCCTCCTTCCAGCCAAAACAAGAACCCACTTTGAGTAATTCTTCAATGAGTTCAGCTATTGTACCTGCTTCTGTTGGAACCCAACCACCAGTTAAGCCTAATGCTCTCGACTCCCTACAGAATACGTTCTCAATGCTGCCTGCGGGAAATCAGCCTCAGCAACCAAGGCCAGCAGCAAGCTCACAGCAGCCAAGGCCAGCATTTAGCTCACAGCCGCCTGCAGTGTCTTCTCAAGGTCCATCCTCCGGTTTGCCACATGCAAGTGCAGTGGGATCTGGTCATTCAGTTCCTGCTGGAAATAATCAGCCTCCGTGGCCGAAAATGAAACCATCCGATGTTCAAAAGTACACAAAGGTATTTATGGGAGTTGATAGTGACAGGGATGGAAAAATAACTGGTGAGCAGGCAAGGAATCTGTTTTTAAGCTGGAGGCTACCCAGGGGTAAAGGCTCTTTGATCTTTCAGTTCACTCTACATAAATAATATATCTTTATCGTTCAACTGTTACCTACCCTTGAAATTAGATGCAATACTTGATTGAAGAATCTTTCTAAACTTTTCTTCTCGTTGTGTTATGTTAAGCTTATTTGCTATGCTCCTGAGGCTTATGTTTCTTTAACAATATCTGCAAGTGATTATGCTTTGAATTGTGTAAGTTAACATATTCTTTTTGCTCGATTCCAGAGGTTTTGAAGCATGTGTGGGAATTATCTGATCAGGATAATGATACTATGCTTTCTCTGAGGGAGTTCTGCATCTCATTGTATTTGATGGAGCGGTATAGAGAAGGCCGTCCTCTCCCAGCGTCACTTCCAAGCAGCATCATGTATGATGAAACACTGCTATCTATCTCAGGTGCACCTAGTCAGGGTTATGGAAATGCTGGATGGGGACCTGGTCAAGGTATTGCTCAGATTCCATGCATTTTTGTGATCTTCTCCCTTTCCCAGATACTTCGCTATAAGTGAAATTTCTGTGTTGCAAGGTTTTGGACAGCAGCCACTGATGGGTCCGCGGCCAGTCACTCCGCCCACTGGTATGAGACAACCAGTTCCTGGACCAGTCCCTCACCCTGGCAGTGGTGTAGCACCTAATCAGCAAAGGAATCAAGCGCCAGCTTTGGATGATCCTTTTGCCAGTCACCTAGGTAATGGACATTCCGTGAGCTCAAATCTTCAAGAAACAGCAACTGATGGGGAAAAGGTAATCATTTTCATTTTCACTTAATTATGAAGCATAAAAAAAGTATTTTCAAAGCTTGGATAAGTTACCATTCCCTGTGCATTTTCGTGGATGCTTGTGAAACAATTGTTTCTAATCTCTGTAGGTTGAAGAAAAGAAAAATGTGTATATGGACTCCAGGGAGAAACTTGAATATTACCGAACAAAAATGCAGGATATTGTGAGTACTCCGTTATAATTTGCTCTTGTTATTTGGTTAGAAGTAATGGTGTGATTATATGCCTCACGATGCCCTTTTGTACAGTAAGGTTCTTGTGAGATCAATTTCTTATAATGCCATTTTCTTGTAATTTGCTTCTCTGTCTGTCAGGTCTTGTACAAAAGCAGGTGTGACAATAGATTAAATGAGATCTCTGAAAGGGCTTCCTCTGACAAGCGTGAGGTGCTTTTTACGTAAATAATCACTTTTCTCATTTCTTTGAGGCTATCTCTCTCTTATCCCAGAAGAATTTCTACCGCAGGCTGAAACGTTGGCAAAGAAGTACGAGGAGAAGTATAAGCAGGTTGCAGAATTAGGGTCAAAATTAACTATTGAAGAGGCCAGGTTCCGCGAGATTGAGGTATGGCTAATTCCTTTGGCTGCCACATAGAGTGGCAACACCTAATGTACATTCCAGACATATATTTTCTTCATTTCTTCTATGTGCTTTTTTCCTCCGGTATTAAGCTTCTCGTTTTTCCAAGCTTTATCATTGTTCATCTTTTCTTTTTGGTTGGGTCGTGTCCTTGTCCCCTTATTCTATGGCCTAGTTCTACCTTCTTCTGCCTTTGTGGTGATAGATCTCTCAGGAATTTTGTTAATCCCTTCCAGGGGAGGAAGATGGAATTGAGTCAAGCAATTGTGAACATGGAGCAAGGTGGCAGTGCTGATGGTCTACTTCAGGTACATGGTCTTATGTGATGCTTACACTATTATTGATTATCTGTTGTGCGTGCCTGATTGATGTTTCACTGTGCATATTTAGGTCCGGGCTGACAGAATACAATCAGATCTAGAGGAGCTGATGAAGGCTTTAACTGAACGCTGCAAGAAACATGGGATAGAGGTTAAGTCGAAGGCCCTTGTAGACCTCCCTTTTGGTACTATATATGATTCTCTCGCGTTGTGACTTCTTGCTTTCACTGCAAATTACATGTATTTTGTAAACAAACAAATAATTTGAAACTGTCAATGTTGTGACTTATAGGCTGGCAGCCTGGAATTCAAGAAGGGGCAGCTCTTTGGGATGAAGAATGGGATAAGTTTGAAGATGAAGGTACAATTCGAGAAACTGTCTTTTTTCCTCCTATCTTTGTATTACTTATACAATTAGATATCTATTGCCAAGCACATAATCTTCTTATTGATAGGATTTGGCAATGAGATTACATTTGACAAGTCAAAAGAGCAAAACTTGTCTGGTGAGAAGGAAAACGGTACGGTGGATGATGGTAATGGACCACCTGATTCACCGACCCATTTGGATGAGAATTATGGACCTTTTTCAGAAACCTCAGACCGCCACCATGAGAGTGAATATGGGACTACTCGAAGTGAAGATGATTCAGGCAGAAGTCCTAGGGACAGTCCTGTCTCTAGGACTGGTACTGAGATCCCTTCCCCAGATTCTCATGGAAAAAATTCTGAATTCTTTGATGACTCGAATTGGGCAAGTGCATTTGACACTAACGATGATGTGGATTCTGTCTGGGGTTTTGATGCATCAAAAAGCCAGGTTAGTACACAATTTATAGTGTCTCCCGTTGTAACTAATCACTCCATCCATCCAAATACTTAAATCTTACATTCAGTTGTGATTATTGACCTGAAGATTTTAGAATCCTTTCTCTTGATTAAGTCGGTCCAAGCTTAGCATTATAATATTTGTCATCAATTGCAGGATGGAGATTACTTTGCATCTGGTGGCGATTTTGGTGGAGACTCAGTAAGAGCAGATTCTCCAACTTCAAGAAGTTTCGGCGGTCAGAGAAAGAGTCCATTTGGATTTGATGATTCAGTTCCCAGCACTCCACTCTCCAGATTCGGGAACTCCCCTCCTCGGTTCAGCGACGCATCAGCAAGAGATAGCAACTTTGATAGCTTCTCCAGATTTGACTCCTTCAACGCCAGTGAAGCTGGAGCAGGTTTTTCATCCTCCCAGCCTGAAAGACTGTCGCGGTTTGATTCCATCAACAGCTCCAAGGACTTTGGTGGAGCTGCCTTCTCCAGGTTTGATTCAATCAACAGTAGCAGAGACTTTGGTGGTCCCTCGCTTTCAAGATTCGACTCCATGAATAGCACAAAGGATTTCAGTGGTAGCCATGGATACTCGTTTGATGATGCAGACCCGTTTGGTTCCACAGGTCCCTTCAAAGTCTCCTCTGATGATCAAAGCCCCAAGAAAAAGTCAGATAACTGGAATTCCTTCTAGCCACAATAAGGTTGTTATATCTTTTTTTTTTCCTCGCTTGATGACCTTGTGATTGTTTCATAAAATCTTATAATTTTTTTCCCACAAATTCTGGTTTTTGGATGAGTAATTTGTAAAGTCTGTCTTTGTATTGGTTTCTTATCTGTTCTTTTATGAATTCAGTTGCTTTATGTCGTAAAAACATTTGTTACTTTCGTTGTGGATAACGAGAGATTTTCTTTTTCTCCACTGTCTCGTCTAAAAAATATTTTGTATTTATATTTGATGTTTCATTAGCCAATGTCTGTAAATAATCAAAACAGATACTGAGAGTCTGCTGCTTAGTTTACACCTAATGACTAATGAGGTAAGCTACAAAATTAAAGCTCCTGCATTGGCACATTCTATCTCTCTCTTGACTCGATGAAAGGCATCACCAAATTTCCGTTAAGAACGCACGTACCCGGGCGTTTGAGGTCTGCTTCATTCCTGCTTCTGCTGAATCCATGAGTACATTTCAAGGTCAGTGTCTACACGTGTCTGTGATCCGCTCAAAGGAAGCTAGCATCGATGACCGTGTTACTTAGCTAATTGGTCTCTGTATCCATTACAAAGTTTGGACTTAGATAAAAGATTATCTATTATTCCGTCGAGACTCTTACTGACATATGGTATATATCCACAAATTTGAGAAGTAAACGATCGTAAATACATTTTCATCACCTCTCGAAGCTTTGAAGTCGCAGAATCCATAAGCGTTACATACTCATCCAACGTATCTAGGAACTGCAACAAGTTCCTCTCATGTCCTTTGCCTTTTTCCAGCTCAGTTTTTATTTCAGTGTCGTTATTCACATCCATGAATTCATCTTCTTCCTCGTAAATCTCATCTCCCACCACCATCAAACTTAGCTACAACACACACGAATGAACCAAACAGAACTTGCACCAGAACGTGGTACAAGCAAGGATCCAGAGAAAGAGAGAGATGCTGAAGTAAACGGCCTATTTTCAAACTAGCCCTATTAATGTTATTAAGCCCATTAGCCCAAGTGTGAAATTACCATGAATCTCCCCGGCTTCATATCCCCTATATATTATTTGAGAATCATTTAAAAAATTGTAACCTTAAATTTGTATTAATTAAAAATAACCTCAATCCTATATGGCATATCTCTTTGCCTTCTAAATTTTATTTAACACAATTCTAGAGCATCTTACATATACCACAGTTTAAACACATGCTTACTAGAAAGATGTTGGTCACATATCTTATTAATATTAAAAAATTATTATTCATTATTTCCTTAAATAAAAGCTACGGAATTACCTAATGTGATTAAAAGAATTTTGAATTTTTTAAAACAATTTTTATACCCTCTACCATTTTTATTTAAATATTTGTTATTAAAATAATTTACACAATTACATTAATTATATAATAAAAAAATATATTTTTTCGTATATACTGTATTTTGAATTTTTTAAAACAGGTATAAATTACTAAATTGTTAAATATCTCAAATAATTTTTTTGTGATCAATGGTTTAAATTTGATTATAATAAGATACAAATAAAAATACATGAGAAAGACGTCTTATTTAATATGTTTATATTAATACATATATATATATATATATAATTTAAATTAAATTACATACCATATAAAATACATACTTATTTTGATATTTTCATTGAAAAATATTGAGAATTTAATATTTTAATTTTAAAATTTGCATTCAATTTTTAATAGTTCAAAATTTTGTTATAAAAATATATTGATAATCATAAAAGCTTATAATGAGAAAATTCATTTACTAAACATTCATATTTAAAATATATTATTGATGTTGTTAATGTCATTTAAATTTAATTGTATATAATATATGATAAATAAAATTGATTGCGCAGATTTATCTACCAAAAATGATTGTTGATAAATAAGAATAATCGTTTGACTTAAATGCACACACCAAATCCCCTATATATTAATTCGCGATCATTTTAAAAGTTATAACCTTAAGTTTGTACTAATTAAAAAAAAATCATATCTTATGTGACAGATTTGTATGAAATTCTACTTAGAAAAAATTCTAAAGCATCTCATATAAAGCATAGTTTTAAAACAAAATCTGTTGATCTCATATAAGACATATCAACTAAATAACATATTAAACTAAATCTCATATATATTATTTCCTTAAATAAAACCTACATAATTACCTAACGTGATTAAGATATATATGACTATTAATGATTTTAAATAATAAAGTTTTGTTAAAAATATGTATAATTTATATCATTTTTGTTTAATTTTTTATTATTAAAATAGTTACACAACTACACTAATCATGTAATTAAAATTTAGATTTTTTTATATATGTTGTATAGAAATTTCAAAACAAGTATAAATTACTAAAACTATTAAAAATCTCACATAAAATTTTGTGATCAAAGTCTAATTTTTTTCTATAATAAGTTACAATGAGTATAAAATCATATAAATAAATAATTTTATTTTAATAGGTGTTAGGTTTTAATATATATATATATGTATATATATATATATACAGATCTCATATCCTAATCAATAATTTTATTTTAAACTTAATTATAATTTAAAATTTAACTTAATTTTTTATAAAATTATTTTTTGATTTAAAAATTAATTTTCAAAAATATTATTTTTGATATTATTAGACAAATAAATAAATTATATTAAATTCATTTCAGAAATTTATATATTTTAAATGAAAATGTTTTACCAATTAAGCCATGTGACACTCCATTTATTTTTCCGTCTCTCGAACACTGAAAAGTGAAAAGATATATGAATCGGACCCATTAAATTATAACTTTTGATCTACAGTTCAAACTGCAATTGTTTCTAATCCTACGTATAGATAATTATATAAAAATTTTAAAATTTTAAATACATATAAAAACAATCATATGTAAATTTTAAATTTGTAAATACTAAAATCTTATATTTTAATTATAGACACTCACCCTGTGCAGGGCGCAGGTCTTATCCTAGTATATATGTATATGTTAAACTTAAAATTTGTTTTGGTCTTTTGAAGATTTTTTCTTTTCCGCTATGACCTGGTTGGTCCTCCTTTGTTTGCTAAACTTTACTTTTGAACTATTTCGAGCAAAAAATTTAATAACCTTTTTGCTATGTCCAACATAATAAAGTCATACTAGAGCTTGACTCATACGTCCTTATAGATACTTTTTTTTATTTTATATAATATTTACATGTTTACAAGTTAATATTCTAAATATATTTCAAATTTTCTTTTTTTATAAATATAATAAATAAAATAATTAATGGTAACACTATCCAAGTTTAGTATTGTTAAAATCATTTTAAGAGATACTAGATCTCGACCCGCACAACCGTGCGGGTATTTTAATACGAAAATATTTGAAATTATATAATATTTCCTCCGTTTTAAATAGATGAAGTTTCATAAGATTTATTTTATTTCAAAATATAAGATGTTTTGAGATTTTAAGGTTTATTTTGAGGTTTTAAAGTTACCTTTAATTTTATTGGAAACCATTCAACCGATAAAATTATACTATTTTCTTATAATTTGTTGAATGATTAAAAAATTATATCCTTAAAAATACTTTTATAAAAGAATGTAAATTTCTTAAATTTTGTGCTATGATCCACAACATCATATATTAAGGAACGGAGGAAGTAAAATTTATCAATATATAAATATAATTTGATTGTATATACTATCCAATTTATAATAATATTTATGTAGCTTATAATATTATTAATTTAAAATTTATAAATTTTTTATTTTTGTAACAATTTTTAAAAACATTATTATGTAACATTACTAATTTATATATTTTTATTTCTAAATTTTAAATATATAAAAATTAAATTAAATTGGACCTACATAATTCATAAACAAAATTTTGGGATATTGTTAAAAGTATATTACATAATTTTAATTTTTTGTTAAAAAAACTAATTAAATAAGTGATGTTCTATGATAATTAAATTTTAAATCAAATAATTTTTGAAACTATATCTTGAAAAGATTCTTTAAGATTTCAAAAGATTTTGTTATAATTTTCTTAAAATTATTTATTTGTATTTCAAATAAAAATTAAAAATATGAAAAGATATTATAATGATGTTATGTTATATAAAATAACTAAAGATGGTCTAAACTAAAAAATCACACATGAAGTGAGTCATGACTTCTCTTTTAATATAATAGATGTTAAACACAAAAGTTTAGCTAAATTTGATTAAATAATTAATAAAATAGGAAAAGACAAAAAAATTTAAAATAGGTTCATTAATTATTTCAGTGGCAAAATTTTGCAAATATAAGAAATATTTTCTATGCATAAACGAAGACGAGAAGGATGAAAAAAAAAAAAAAAAAAAAAACGCAGACGAGAAGAAACATGCAAACACCAACAAGCGCCATTTAACTATTAAACTTTCGTTCACAAAAAAAAAAAAAAAAAACTATTAAACTTTCAATTAACCAAAACTAGTTGAATACATACAACTTTACTCTTCTTCTTTTATTGATTCTCTCCACGTTCATCAACTTGTAAGAAGAATAAGAAGATTGCATCTCCATCTTCAGTGTCGTTTCATCTTCAATCAACAATCTTTTTCCAACTCGTGTTTCCTTTTTCTGACGATCATATGCTGAGATTTGATCAATAACGCTCATGATCATCATACCTAGACCGAAACTACGTTTATTATCATCATGATCCATCTCCATGACCTCAACCTTCTCATCTATTTCCATATCAGAGGACAAAGACGGTTTAGTCTCGTAACAGTCTGAACTACTACTATCACACACCTTTCGAATCGAACAACTCTTGACAATATTGGATTTGAAATATGGATCGTTGGATATGTGGGAGTTGATAGATTTATCCACGCATTGCATCATCGCCAGAGATTTTGGATTCAACTTGAAGAGAATCTCCTCGAGGAGATGTAAAGGTAAGCTATCCATGATCCAAGTAATTAATCGAGAGGAAGATGTTATGATCGAACCTCTTTTGCTTCAAGTCTTTTTTTTTTTATATATAGTGCATATTTATAGAGACATATCATTCCAATAAGGAAATTAATTGGGTGTTTCGGAAAACAACAAAGGAAAGATATAAATTGTTTTCCTTATACCATATGTTTTATTACCTTCTTTCCAAAAAACAGTAAAGACTCTCGAAACGACAGCGTTTTATTTATTAAACGTATTATCAGTTAGGGGTATAAATGTCATTTCAGAGTAAGTAGTTTGAGATATGGATATATATGGAGGGGCTCTCTCGAGTTTGGTTCTTCTGTGGCATTTCACTCTCTCTGTGTCAATGGCTACCATTAGTAGCTACTTTCACATATGTGCCTCTGATCATCACTCTCGTATTCGTCGAATCTCTGAGACAGATCAACCTCGACCCACATATCAATTCGTCACTCTTTCGTCTCCTGTTTCCAGAAGAGACGCGAATCTTGTACTCCTCTGCTCGCTTCCTTTGACGAGCTTCTTCGTTCTACCGACGAGTTCTTCTGAGGCGAGAGAGAGACGTAGCAGAAAAGTCATCCCTCTCGAGGAGTACTCCACTGGCCGTTAAGTCCCTCCCTCTCATTCTTAGCTTTTTCATTGACATGAAAACAGAGTCCAAACCAATTCTCTGAGAAATCAATTAGGGTTTCTTTCTATGACTCTTTTGGCGAATTAGGTCTATAGATTTTTGCAACTTCTTGATTAAAGGAACTTGCTTTACTTGTGAGAGCAGTTTCTGGAGATTGCAATCATATACTGAAGTTTTAGTTGCTCTGTTTCTTGCAGCTGAAGGGTTGAAATACTATGACATTGAGGAAGGTAAAGGTCCAGTAGCCACAATAGGATCAACTGCTCAGGTCTCTCTAACGAGAAAATCCCTCTTGCTTACACTATATTCCAAATCAAAGTCCTCACCTTTACATTGTAATGAGCCTAGCCTGTCTTTAGGTGCATTTTGATTGCCGTTACAGAAGCATCACTGCAATCTCCACCAGAGAGTCTAAGCTTTTGGCTGGGAATCGTAGTATTGCTCAGGTTTACTACATTTGCTTAAACTTTCAAAGTATTCTGCTCTTTGATGTGGTTGGTGGCTTACTTTCTTTTTTGAAAAGCCTTATGAGTTCAAGGTGGGATCTACGCCAGGGAAGGAAAGGAAACGAGAGTTTGTGGATAATCCAAACGGGTTGTTCTCTGCACAGGCTTCACCAAAGCCTCCTCCGGCAATGTATTATATAACTGAAGGAATGAAAGTCGGTGGCAAGGTTAGATAAACAGTACATTGGTTTCTAGTTATGAGAACATTTGCAATGTCTAAAGTAGTAGTGTTTGACCTTGCAGAGAACTGTGATTGTTCCTCCTGAAGCTGGTTATGGTCAGAAAGGAATGAACGAGATTCCGGTGAGAATCTACAAATTGTATATGAGGAAAGCTCCGTTATTTTTTTGGCAGAAACTATTTACAACAATGTGGTTTAATGTTTCGGGATTGATAGAATAAAAAAAGACGTGTATGTTTGTTGTTGCAGCCAGGAGCTACTTTTGAGTTAAACATAGAGCTGCTTCAGGTGACGCCCCCTCAAGAGAAGAAAGAGAAGTGAACAAGATTCTTCCAACAACACTGATAAAAGAAGTTTGAAGCTTTCACAAGCATATGGTCTCATCATTTGTCAAAAGATACATTATAGAGGAGAAACTAGAGAATGTAAATTTTGGACTCCGGTACACTAAATAACCGGGTATTGTTTGTTTGAATAGAATCTGTTAAAAGTAGCTGACTCCTACGTGACGGATTTTAATTGGCCCAAAAGTGTTAAGAGACTCCTAATGTGATATGATTGGTGTGGTCACAGTTACTAAACCAAAAAATAACTAAATGCTGACAAACCGAATGTTGTAAACCGTAATATTGTAAACTGAACCGAACCTGATGATAAACCGATAAGTCCTCCACCAGCGACTAGTTGGTAGGAATCTAGTTGGTGGCTCCTCGTAGGTGCTTTTGGTTCCCGAGCAAATCTAGTGAAACAGAAAGAGGAGATGGAGACTTCTCTGAGGTACTCAAAAAGCTCAAGGTCTCTGAGAATCCATGCCAAAGAGAAGCTCCATGTGCACTCCAAAACTCATTTGCAGGTACCTCTCCAGCTTCCTCTGTTGTGTTGTTCTCAACAGTTTTTGTAATTTCTTGTTTTGATTCGTCTCTTAGTTTCTTTCCGGGGTCAGAAGCCTCTTGCTTGATATTGAAAGATTAAAACTTTGAAGTGTCTAGGAAATTGTAATCAAGGGTTAGGTTCTAATAAGATAAGAAGCTTCCGGAGATGAGACTCGGACAAGGGTTTTAGAACCTTCACTAGATGTGGTTCAAAGTCTCTAGCTTTTGATGCTGAAAAGGAGGGGAATAGATGCTCTAACTTGTAGGAAGAGTTGTTCATCGCTTAACTCATATTTGGTTAAGTTTTGGATTAGTGTCTATTTTCATGGTTAATGTCAACAAGAAAGTTAAAACCTTTCAGGCAAAAACCCATCTGTTGATTGTCAAACTTGAGTGATGTTTGGCTAATGTTGTCTCTCTTCTTACTTTCTTTCTTTGTTTGGTAGCTTCATGGAGAGCTAGATACACGGTCTGGGGCGCCAAGTTACTTCTGTGCTATGATAAGACACCTTTTCCATAAGGTTTTTGCCATCTCAAACTATTATTTCTTCGCTTGAAGCTTTTACAACCATTTTCTCAATGCCATGAATTTGCACATAGGATTCAACAAACATTGGAGTAGGCTTGCATTATGATAAAAGCGAAAAGCTTCGGGGTCTTGTGCGTGGGAAAATGAAGTTCCCTGTGAGAACTGATAATCTTTTAACCTTAAACATTAAAGGAAGATGTGATTTTGACCAGGAGTTCAATCAGGTTTTACCTTCTTGTTTTTCTTTTTTTCTCATACTTCATGAACTTTCTTTATCAGTTATGTTTGTTCATTGTCTTTGAAAGTAAAATGGACTAAGAGGTTTTGTGATTTTGCGCTGACAGAGGAACCCGAAAGGAGCTGCTGAATTTGATTTGAACATATGGAAGTTTGAGAAAGATCAGGATTTACGCCTCAGAGTTGGCTACGAGATGTTTGAGAAGGTACTCTTGACCACACTGTTTGAAAATTATAACTCCAAGGCCTTTGCCTCGTGATGCAAGTGCTCTCTTTGGATGATTGAAAACAATGCGTTGCCTCTCTTTCTTGCAGGTCCCATATATGCAGATTAGAGAAAACAACTGGACTCTTAACACGAACTTGAAAGGAAAATGGAATGTGAGGTTTGATCTATAAGGAGGGGAAACATAAACAGCAACACACATTTAAAGTAAGATTACATTTTATATTTGATCATTTTGAGAAATGTTTTACTGATTGAAGAAACTCACTTTTATTTAACCAAATTGATAGCAAATCTGAAGATCTTTTGTTTTGTTATCACTTATCAATCACTTTTCACTCTTGCAACCAGCTCGAATCTTAGTTATTGTCTCCTTGCCTCAGGTAGCTATTCCCATGTTGGGAGATAGAATCAGAATATCTACTAGGTTTGACTGTAAAACCCACTTGGTCTTTTATTAAAGTTGTTAACCACAACTAGACCAGAACAAACTAATCCAAAACCAGACTAGACCATGCATGGAAACCAAAAAAAGTCAAGGCTGCTGTTATGGTTCACAACCAAACATCAGAGATCTGGTTATCTCCAGACCAATATAGTTAGGTAACTTCGTCACGGTTTTGGTTGACTTTGAGATTGGGATGCGGCTATTATGAGCCATGAACATCACCATCACCATCCGTCAGTATCAAATCAACAATAGAGAGTCCCACACACAAAGCTGAAGGAGAAGATCTTTAAAGATTTTCTTCTGATGGTTATAAATCAAAGATCATGCATAAACGCTCACAAGTCACAACGCCAAGAATCTTAAACCATAGTTTTCAACATCAACAATAGATGAATAAACATTGACAAAAAACCCACTTTATAAAATTCCAACATAGTCGGGTCTATTATTTTGTTAATAGCCTGTAATGTAGCTATTTAATAACAAATAGTTTTGACTTTTGTAGTGAAATACTCGAGGCCATTTTGAAAAGTATAAGATCAAAATCTATTAGATAGGCCTTTAGAGCATCGACATCAATGAACCCCCTCTTGGGGTTCATTGAATCAATATTTTATTATTAAAAATTTTATGTTTTTTTTTTGAATTTTTTTTTTTTTAAAAAAAAGAAAAAAATAGACCTAGACCAATCCCGGGCTGATACGTGTTGAACCTTAGGAAAGAGGGGTTCACCCGGGTGAACTTTAGGAGAGAGGGATTCATAGATTTTAGTTATTTTATTATTTTATTTTTTTGGTTTCCGTGTGAACCCCCCATTTGAACTCTCAATGGGGGTGCTCTTAGACGCCTGTGGGAAATTGCCAGAGTCATTGTCATAAACAAAAAGATGTGGCACAGAGCAATCTCGTGCCCACACTTGACATGAGTTTAGTCAATTTTAATGCATTTTCCTCGAGGTTGCATCATTTTCGAACTCGCAATTGATTAGTTAGTGGAGAAACGAAGTTTCCTCCTCCCTTTGACTATATATAAACTTGTAATGTGGAATATGATTTGCAAAAGGGTATGTATAGTGACATGTTTAGATGTGATGTTTCTATTAATTATCCAAAAGTTAATAAATTTTAACCAAAACAATAGAGCATGTGTGGAGAAAGAAGAAATGGGCGGTGAGAAAACTGGAAGTGGAGAGTGCACTGAGAATAGAAAGAGTCAACCAGATAATTAATACCAGTTTTAATTTACTCTCGATTTACTATATTTAGAAACTCTTAATTTCACACGTTTCCTCCTCACATACCTCTATTAGCAGTTAGCATGCATTATCTAATGTTTTCCTTCATTCTTATATATTGTATGTTAATTAGATTATAACCTTAGAGATAATCATAAACAATACTCTTGTTATCGGATAAATATTAGTAAGCTCCACATGTACATTGCATTTTTAGGTCTTCTCATTGTTTATTTTCTTCAGCAAGATTTTAATAAACAAGTACTAAAGTTCTAAGCGATAACAAATAATTATATGTATTAGATCTAAACGGAAAAACATTTGACGAGAGTTTGACAAGTGTCTCTCAAAGTTTCTTCACCAAATCGTTGAGTGCTTCATCTGCTACTTTGAAGTTAGTTATGTATCATCATCGTTGGGAAAAAAGTTTTAAGAGACCATGCAACTGCTGACAAGTAACACGAGAACGACCATATATTCGGCCGATTCTGGCTACCATCCTCCACATAATTTGTTATTTTTTGTAACAATAATTTTGTTATTATTATTCAAATATGGCATAGAACATAAAATTAAGCTCAAATCATGCAAAACTTGGAATAATTTGGGTAGTATATATATATATATATATATATATATATTTACCGAAAGGGACTATATATATTTAAATATGTCACATGTATATTAAACTATAAGCAAACTTGAATACTACAGACATTTTTCGCTTTTGAATGCACCACGTACATAATGTTTAGAAATTACACACAACTTTATTTATAATATCACAATATTTCAGAAGAAAATACACCACAGATTTTTTTGGGGCTATTTGCCAAATAACCTTAAAATTAGAAATTAGATTTGTAGAGAGAAAAAAGAGAGAGAGAGGGACAGAAAATAAAATAGAGAGATTGGGTTAGTTAGTGAATTTATATTTTTTGTATGGTTAGTTGGCCTAATTTTCCATCTTTTTCTACAAAAGAAAAACTTCTCACAACTAAGGTTTCATACTAAAATGTTTTAGACATCCATCCAAGAGATTTATGATATGCTTTACAGAAAGGTCTTACTAAATGACTAAAACATTTAGACATCCTTCGAAGAGATTTATATAAGTTTAAAAAGAAAGGTCTATAAATAAATCACCCTTTTTTCTCAACTTATGTACATCCCTTCTTTTCAATATTCCATATCACTTATAAATTTTTATCACTAATTCGTATTATGAAAACATATCGTTTTGTGTCACCTAGTTTAATCGACATGTGTCTAGTTAGTGTGTAGGTGGCATCATTCTTATGGCTGGATGTGGTGGGTGCCCTACAAAAAATATTTCTCCAAAACTGTATTTCTCCTTCCGGTAATCAGCTGTCAAAGGTAAGATAGTAGATACGTTAAGAAATATCTTAGAATACTTAAGATTAAAATAAGGTAATCTAACTACATTGAAACTTGTCTTTATTGAAGAGCTAAGATATTTTCCGAAAAATATTTGTGGTTTGCCAACACTAATCACCTACATTAACGATCAAGAATATCTCCACGTACAAAGGCAGTCGTTATTAAGTTTTCTACTACCAAAATCATAAGTTGGGCAGATACTTAAACTAGAGAATAATTAGTTTAACCTAACTAAAGTCCATATTAAGCAAAATGATTAAGTTGTAGACATTAGAAAAGTTTCTTTGAATGCAAATGGTAGGATCTTCCTATGGACGGCTCGAGTTAATTCGGCATCTAATAACATATTGCAGTGCCTTTTCTTTACCAATGGGCATCTTTGATCTTCACAATGACTCAACCTTTTTTTTAGAACAACAGACTCTATTCTTGAACTTTTTATTTGTTTTTTTACAACCATCCATGGATTTTTATTTATTTTACTTTTCGGTCAAGAGAACAATCACCTTTGCAGTTTGAATGGACCATGTGAATATATATACATTTCTATATCGAAATTCGATCGGAGTAAAATATAAAATTAGGTAGCACCCTGTATATTATAACGATATTAGCTTAACAACTCTTTAAGCTCGATTTACTAAACGAAAGTACAAAAAAATATACTTCAGTTTAACTTAATCCAACGGTTTACACTAAAAAAGAAAAACTAAATCAATCGCAGATGGTTAACAATTACTCTCTTTTTTTTTATTGAACGAGGTTAACAATTACTTTTTGTTTGTTAAACGGTTAACAATTACTTTGTCACGTTTGTATGCGGCTATGTGAGTGAGCGTGCTTACGAGTCAAAAGCCCGAAGGCAACAATTATTGAGAAACTGACCAAAGAATCTTCGGTTAATGTTCCAATGGTCCAAGAACAGAAAATATCTCTGACATTCAAAATCAGTTTTATACTTTTCTGAGACTTTGGGATTTTCTTTTTTTTTTTAATCTAAAGATATAATAAGTCTGTCTAAATATTTACTTCCCATTCATGAAGAATACCAAATTTACTATTCATTCATATTAATAAATTCGCGTTAAATCGATTAAAAATATAAAAACAAAGTAACTGACGATAAATGATGAATTTTATTATTATTATGAATAAATAGATTCTGAACATGATACGAATGCTTTTTTTTTTACTACATTACATGACATGAATGCTAAAAAAAAAATAACTTTTTTGTCAACAAAATAAAGAAATAACTAATTTCAATAGTGTTGGACTGAAAGCAACAAGTGTAACATCAGCTATTAAATAACCATATATCATACAAAATGACCGTGTTGTATTGTAAATGACAAAAGTAACCCTCGTCTACAACGATATATTACTAAAACGACACCAAGCTGAACTCTCTCACACTGCCTATAAAGCTGAACTCCTCATTGCCTCTCTAAAAACCTCTCAGACTCAAATCAAATCCCTTCCCTTTTTATTCAAAAAACTCAACAGAAAAAAAAAATGGCGCGAATTCTCTTCCGTCTTCTCGGAGAATCCACCACCACCACTCCGTCGTCCGTGGCAGCCACCTCCACCGCTTCCTTGAACTCCGATCTCGTCGTCATCCTCGCCGCTCTCATCTGCGCCTTGATCTGCGTCCTCGGTCTGATCGCCGTTTCTCGATGCGTCTGGCTCCGTCGTCTCGCCGCCGGTACCAGAACCTCCTCCGGATCTCACGACGGTTCCGGCCAGTCTCCTCCTCCGCATCAGGTAGCAGCCGCGAACAAAGGCCTTAAGAAGAAAGTGTTACAGTCCCTCCCGAAGATCACTTTCTCGCCGGAATCGGAGAAATTCGCCGAGTGCGCGATCTGTCTGACGGAATTCGCCGCCGGAGACGAGCTCCGTGTTTTGCCGCAGTGTGGTCACGGGTTCCACTTGTCATGCATTGACACGTGGCTGGGGTCTCACTCGTCTTGCCCTTCTTGCCGTCAGATCTTGGTGGTTGCCAGGTGTCATAAGTGTGGAGGTTTGCCTGGGAGCTCTAGCTCCGGATCCGAACCTGAACCCGAACCGGAACCTGAAATCGTGATCCGAATTAAGCAAGGCGAAGATGATCCTAGCTCTTACTTGCCCTGATTCGTTTGTTTGGTTCCTTCTTCTTCTTGTGTTTAGATATCTTTATAATTAAATGGAGTTTAGTGGGTAGTGTTTTATTCTCTCAATGTGTACATGTTTATAATGTAATTTTGTAAATGTTGTATGAAAATTGAAATTTAGCGATTGGCGTTTACTTCGTCGAGTTTACGGTTTACCAAATGGAAATTCAACGATTTGTAGATCTACTCGAAGTTGATCTCACCGAATCGTCTGATTTGTTTAAGGTGTGTAAGTTTATGCTTTAAGCTTTCCCCCTCCCTACCCCATGAAAATTGATAAGTATGTTTAAGCTTTTATGCATTGTATACTATTATAAGTCCGAGAAAATGACTAGAGCGTATTTGAATATATTGATTTACAATTCTGATTTTATGATTAAGGAGTTTGAAATGGATTTTTGGATACTAATCTCAATCTTGTTTTATATATGTTTGAATCGGTTTAATCAATAATAGTTTATTTTCAAATAAATTTTGTAGTCATCTATAAAATATTTTTATGTGAAATATTTTGGATTTTATTAATAATACGTTGAATTCAAATTATTTATTTAGGTTTCAGATAGTCATTTGGATAATAGTTCGAATCTTCATATATGTTTTTTGAGTTTTGGAGTTTTTAGTATATGTCGAGTTCATGCCAAATTCGGAAAAATACCTTAAACAACAAAATATCGTCTCAAAATTCATTCATATACAATACACAAATTCATGTTTTCAGTTCGGTTTGATTCAGATCTCATGTTTAATATAAATTAGTGGTTTAGTTGTACACTAGTGTGTGGATATACATGTATATTAGTGTAAATATATATAGATAATGATAGTTTAATATGTTTCTTATTTTTAATATTCTATAAATTAATTTTCATGAAACATAAGGAATAACATTATAGCAGCTAGGTTTCAACTAAAATACAACCAGAACAATGATGTTTCATGTACAAAATTAAAATAATCTTAACAAATCTTATTCTAAGCACATTATTAAAAACCTATTGTAAAAAGAAAAACTCATTAACTTCGATCTTTCATTATATATCACTTATTAGGATAAAACCTGCGCAAGGTGAATATATGTAACTAAAATATAAAATTTTAGTATTGACAAATTTAAAATTTACATATGGTTGTTTTTATATGTATTTGAAATTTTATAATTTTGGAATTTTTATATAATTATCTATACATAGGATCAGAAACAATTGTAATTAGAACAATAGATCAAATCTTAGAATTTAATGAACCCAATTTTATATATCTTTTCACTTTTCAGTGTTCGAGTGATGGAAAATCAATGGAGTGTCACTGGGCATGACTGGTAGAGTATTAGCAAATTCTCTAATATTATTTTAAGAAGCAATTTGTAAAATATTTACATTTAAAATATATAAAGTTTCAAAACTAATTTAATATAGTTTATTTATTTATCTAATAATATTAAAAATATATTTTTTACAAGTTATATTTTTAAAAGAATTTTATAAAAAATTAAGTAAACTTTTAAATTATTTGTAAAACAATATTTTAAGTTTTTTAAATACAAATAAACAATTTAAAATTAATTATGGTCATGATTTAACATAACCATAATGATTAAAAAATTAAAAAAATTAACAAATTAAAAATTAACTCAGTTTTATATCATTATTTAACAATTTAAAAATTAATATGGTTATGAGAAGTTTACGTTCACGTGTCAATACTATTTATCTTCAATTTTTCTCTTGTTGTGTTTTTTTATATTTTGGTTATTACTCGATATAAATATTTATTTTGAAGTTTATTCTCATTTCGTTTTTTTTTGTTTTGACCTGGAATTTAGAAAATACTTAAGACTTAAAATAGTTAAAGAGATACATACTTACGTTAAGATCTGTACTTTATGCACAATAAGTATTTTATATTTATTATTTATTTTATATTTTTCTGCATGTTATAAAATAATTAAATAATAAATATATATATTAAATAACTAAGAAATCAGTTACTATTATGTAATAACTTGGCGTATGCATATAAATTTAACTATCACTCTTGTTTATTCGCAATTAAGGTAAATAAATCAAAATAATAAATCTTATATATTGTATATGATATATAATTAAATTAAATGATATAAACATAGTAATATAGTACAATTTTAATATGGATATTTATTAAATGAGGTTTCTACTCATATAATTTTATGATTATTTGCATATTTTTGTAACAAAACTTTACACCGATGAATTTTTTTTTAATGTGAGATGTTTAGTAGTTTCAATAATTTATATTTTTTTTTAAAAATAATGACATATTTTAAAATTAAAATATTAAATTTTCAATATATTTTAAGGCAAATATCAAAGTATAAGTATGTATTTTCATACGATATATAGTTTAATTAAAACGATATGAAATATATATAACCTAAAATTATTTTTTCGTATGGTCTTATAATCATTATATATAGAAACAAAAATAAAACCTTGATCCTAAAAGTTTATGTGGGACTTTTAACAATTTTAGTAATTTATACTCATTTTGAAAAATTCGAAATACAACATACATAAAAAAAAATCTAGATTTTTATTATATGATTAATGTTTGTGTAATTTATTTTAATAGTAAAGAAATAAACAAAATGAGAAAAAGTATACAGATTGTTATCAAATCTTTATTGTTTAAAATCATTAATTTTCACATATATTTTTATCACATTAGGTAATTCCGTAGGTTTTATTTAAGGAAAGCACACAAAACAATAAATATTTGATAAATGCGACCAACTATAGCCTACGAAATATTAGAAAGTATAATTTTTAGACTATACATTATATTACATACTCTAGAATTCTTGGGATTTGAAATAGAAGCCAAAAAGTTATACCACATAGGATTGGGGTTATTTTTAATTCTTACAAACTTAAGGTTACAACTTTTTAAATGATTCTCAATTAATATACAGAGGATATCTTTCAACATTTAAATACGATCGAGAAGGTTATTTAGGATCAATCCTTTAATATATACTGCATGAGAATGTTGTTCTACCACACTCTATTTCCGCAAAAATAGAAAATACTTGATTGGCAAAAAAAAAGTAATTTTTCTTCAAAAAAAAAGAAGTAATTTGGGTCTTTTGAAACTAAATGACTAATGTAGAAAATTGTGATATGTTATCAAACTTTGGTTTTGTGTTTGAAATATTAAAACTTACTAGTTGCATACTCGCCGCGCAAGCGCGGAGCCGGGATCATTGATGTTTGCTTGTATTTTTTTTAGTTGTTGGTTTAGTGGGTTCTTCCAATAATACCAAATAAATGGAAAGACTGTAAAAATATTGTAAAGTGAAAATATTGTATATATAATGTGTTAAATGTTATTTATATGTGAAATAAGGTTTACAGGAATAATTAAACTATAATATAGTTTCTAGTGTGTAAAAATAGCTGTCTATCTTGTTTTTTATTTTTTAGGCGAATAGTTTTTATATTGAAGGTCAAAACTTAATATAATTATTTATTTATAGTATTTATATTTGTACTAAACAATTTATCAATTTGAAAATAACTTTAATTTAAGCTAATATTTGTCATTTTAGTTTCATTAGATAGATTTGTATATGTTTTTTTTGTAAGTTTGGATTTTGTTCATGAATAATGTGGTATTTTTATTTATGGCGTCATCGACTGTGGGAATCCATTCGTCGGAGTCTGATAAAAATGAAATTATAGTAACTATTAAAAATGTAAGAGAAATTTCATATTCATTTTATAAATAACGAAAATACTTAATTTTTGTTGTTTTCTTATTTTATTCACGTACATAATTTTTTGAAAATATATATTAGGAAATATGTTCTAATAGAAGAAATATTTTAAGACATGATAATTCTCGCGTAAGACTCGTTTTGTTTTTTGTTTTTTTGTCTTTTGGGCTGTTCATTTTTTTATCCCTTTTTAATTATTTTTAGGTTTGAGTTCGTTAAATTTTAGGATTTTTTCCACTATTTTGGTCTTTAAACAATAAGCTCAGAGGAAAAAAAACATAAAAACAATAAAACCAAAAAAGACAATATAATAATAACCCAAACGAAAAAAAAACTAAAATACATAACATTTGCATGGTTTGAACCCACACACTTGCTGACTTAATTAGATGTATTATACCATTCGATAAAGTGTATTCATTGTTCATAATCATTTTAGAAAAACTATTGACTTTTAAAATTAAATGCACAAAACCCACAAAATGTTGATATAGACACTTTGAGAAACCTTGAAAGGTGTGCTATTATATATAAGATTTACTAAAATACTGATCAAAGCATGTATTTGCAACAATAAAAACATTAGATAATTAGAATTCTTGTGTCATCTAATATGTGTTTTCATTTTATTGCTTTTTTTTCATTTTATTGCTTCTTTAAATCATGGCAATGGGTTGAGGTCCAGTAATCCACAGGATGTATACAAGTTTGAATCGTACTGTGAATCATATTTTAACTGATATGTTCGAGTTGGTTCACCGAGTGGTAAGCATGTTGATGGCGACAACCATTCTTTAACAAATCAAAAATCAAAAGTATTTATTTATACAAAAGATAAAAAATGACGGGAATTCTAGATCTGCGCGTTTGATTTCTATTACGCGATAACCTATTATAGGAAACTCAAGCTCGTTAATTAGTTAGTAGCTTATTTTTGTCCAACTAAATAGCCACTATGTTGTTCAACTTGGTTTAGAAAATAGTACATTCATTAAATTTCATAAATGTAAACCAAAACATACAGTGGATTTTATATTAAAGTATATGAATATGCCGACAAAAAAATCCATTTGAATACAATTTCTGTTTTAAAATTTGAGCACCAAAAGACTATTTAATCAGTTGATTACATGATTTTTCTATAGTTTCTTGCTAACTATGGGAATATTCCCCAATAAATGGGGAAAAGAAATCTGGTCAGTGTGCTTGGGACAAATGGCATGTTATGTATTGGCTAGGTCTTACCTTTTCATATATTTTACTAAATTTTACCCTTCAGTATTCAAATAACTATCGTATTTCTTCAACTTCTTTTAGGTCTCTGGGGTTATAGAATTTCGGGAATACGAGCCTATGATCCACTAAATCAGATGGATTGTATAGTTAAACAGTAAGGATAGTATAGTTGAAAGAGTCAAGATGACTGCAAGATATGGTGTCTTCTATCTTTTTGAGTTTTGACCTACCAAATATATTGCGATTTCCACAGACATATTTAAGAGTTAATGTTTGAATAAATTAATTGATAGATTTATAAATTGATTGTTTAGTATAAATTCTTTTTGTCAACAGTGATTTACTTATTTAAATTGAATTTTATTCGTTTCTAATGGGAGCCATTGAATTAAAAACGGCGGATGGTCCACCATAGAATCCCATCACAAGCATTTCCACTACGGAAAGTGCGTCCTTGTGCTTAGTGCTGCTAACCATATTATAAACATATTTATATTGTAATTTAATCCCTTTTTAATTCTACTAAAAATTACAACCATTAACCGAAGTTCAGCAAAAAATTTCGACCATTAACCTAATGTTCAATTTTATAGTGGACTATGAGAAAAGTATATTTTATTGAATATTTATTCACGCGAATATAAAATTTACTACAAAATCATAAACATAAAAAGAAATAGGAACAAACTGTTGATAAGGCCATTAGAAATTACAGTATTGTCATTACTTATTTCTAACGTTACATAAGTATAAGTGTCTAACTAATGTGTTATCGTTTGAAGCTTATAGCTGTACCATGAGTGACAACGAGTCGCAACTCGCAACAAAAATAAAATGCTCATGACCAACAAAAAGAAGTAGGAACTGAAAGAGAAGAGGAGATGCTTTGTGTTTTGTTGCGGGGCTATAAATTCGCAGACTATAATGATGAGAGATGAAAAGTTCACCAATGAGGATGGAGATTCCCTCATTTATGTTCTGCACTACTTTGAGCATTACTGAATAATTGTTTCTGCTTGCTACGTGAATACGTGAATGATTAATACAACTTTTAAAATGGGTGTTGAGAAATATGTGTTAAATAAAATAGTATCTCATTTTCATGTCTAGCTAAGTGCCGGTCCTAAATATTTGGTGGCCTAAAAAAATGTAAGAAATGTGGCATTGAAAATTTTTCAGGACATTTGGATTTTGTTTTATCATTGCTATATTTTGGGTTAAGAACATAGCTTGTTGTATATAGGAAAATGTAGTGCATTGAAACTAATTTTTTGTTATCTTAAAAAAAATCTAATCTAATAGTTTAGTTGTGAAGTTATTTTATTTTATAAATAATAAAAGAACCAAAGAAATCATACAATATAAGAAAATACATTACTATCTTTGTGTAATATAAAAATGGTTGTACTTAAAGTTAGTTTGACAATAATTAATAGCCAAAAATAAAATAAACATGGTAAGTACTTTTGTAAGGAGTATATAAAAATAATTGTTTAACATTTTGTGGCTCTATTTTTCAAAAAAAAAAACATTTTGTGGCTCTAGAGCTTAAGCTGAATGTGTCTTATGGCTAGGACGGGGAAACATTCTTAAAGTATTGCTTGCTTACGAATTTAGGCGTCTTAATATAGTACGTAATTAAAATGTTATACATGGTCTAAACTGAATCTCCAAGTGATTATATTCAAAGTCTTAATTATGTATAGTGTTGATTGTTTCAAACAACATATTAGGTTTTATTACTGTACATGTCTCCATTTACTGAATATGTTTAAACAAAGATGATTTGACATGTAAATGCAATTTTCAAAGAAGACCTCAGTTTCTTTTTACATTTATGATTTATCAAAACAGTCAAAATCTAAAAACGGTTTCAAATGTGTGAATGTATACGTATAAAAAAAAACAGACATATAAAAGAAATATAAATCAAAAATAGAAAAGACAAAGAATCTATCATACTCTGTAGTTTATACTGAGTGTCGACCTTTTTTGCACAACTAGAAAGTTCCGTTACTAGTGGGTGGCTCGACGATTTTGCCTTGAATATATATATAAGAGATACCCCCATAAACTATTGATTAATAAAGTGATGTTAGAAAATGATCATATAAGTTATTGCGAATTTTACACCAAAAAAAAAAGAAAAAATTATTGCGAATAGGGAACTAATGGTAGTAGTAGTGGTGGTGGTATCACTTGATGTGTCAGAGCATTTTGACCGAGGAATAAATATTTGGGTCTTTATTGGATTCTCTAAACGGCCCAACAAAAGTGACCACTTCTTTTGTTTAATTGGATTCTCCTCACGGCCATGCGTGACGTTTCTGCGTATTTCTACTCTTCTTCGTGACGTTCCCCTATAAAAGATAAATAAAATGCAAAAATGTTGGGGATTTCCGAATTAATTTCGGGATTTTTGAACCCGACGTGAATCGAACACGCAACCTTCTGATCTGGAGTCAGACGCGCTACCATTGCGCCACGGATCCCCATGCTTTGTAACCACACTTATAACTAAATAACGAATAATCTACAGGTCGAATAAAGACCACATGGTGAGGGAGTGTTTGCTCGTCTTCCCTCAGGCATGAAATGGCATCCATTGATTCTCTCCAGCTCCACTCTCTGTGCAATCTCCAGGTAAAACTCGATCCATTCTCACTACCTTCTCTTCTTCCCATTGATTGCAATCTTAAAGTTTATGTCTTTGTGTTGTTGTCTTTGAAACCCTAGTCGCCAGTTGGAAGATCCAAGCTCCAGATTCCTTCAAGCTTGGTTCTTTTCAGACGGAGACACAAGAATCTAAACTGGGTCCAAGTCCAAACCAACCAAAGATTCGTCTGCAAATCGATTGTTGATGATGAATCCTCAACTCCAGATGAAGAAACTCAGAACACTCAAAATGATGATGATAACGAGAAAGAAGATGATGTTGCCACGACTCAGAATAGTAACAACACGCCCAGTGACTCCAACACTTCGATTTCGAGATTCCAGAGCATGATTACCACCATTACCATTCATTCCGAGAATTCAATCTCGAGACTTCGGAGTATGATTACTACACTTCCTCCTGTCACCTTCTTGGTATGATTCTCTCTTGATTCTGCTTAAAGTTTGAATCTTTAACGACTTTTCTGGTTAGTTGATAAGTTAGAACTTGTCTCTTTAGATGAAAAAGTCCTCAGGGAACAGCGTTTGGATTGGTATCAGCATCGTAGCTACAGTTCTGCTCGCTTCTATACGAGCTTATGCAATAAGAAAGTCTAGAGATAACCGTCCTGCTGGCTCTGTTTCTGATCTTGTGAGACGTGGTCAGCTTAGATCTGGTGATAGAAGAGGCATGTATGAAACTTACACTCACACACTCTTTCTTTCATCTTGTTTCCAAAACTAGTTTGCTTTTTTGGGTCTAACTTCTTCTTTTTATCAGCTCAAAGGGTATGAACTACGAAGACCCATTCAACAACCCTTTTGTTAAACTTGGTAAAGGAAGCTCAACGGTGGAGATGTGTGGGAAAGTTTATAAGTTAGCTCCAGTCACACTTACGGAGAAAGAACAAAGTGTTCATCAGAAGAGAAGGTCAAGAGCTTACCAATGGAAGAGACCTACTGTTTTCCTCAAAGAAGGTGACTCAGTCCCGCCTGATGTTGATCCTGATACTGTTAGATGGATCCCTGCCAATCATCCGTTTGCAACTACGGTTAGTGATATTGATCAAGACCTTGCTCAGAATAATGTGTACCAGAAGCAAGGTGTTCCTTTTAGGATTCGCGCTGAGCATGAAGCTATGCAGAAGAAGCTTGAAGCTTTACAAAATGTAAGTTGTTCTTTTCTTTCCTTTTTGGAGATAATCAATAAGTTCCAAGAAGTAATGATTGTTGGGTTGTTTTCTACAGGAGGAGAAGTTGAATAATTTGGGTATTGACAGCCAAAATGCCAGAGATTTTCAGAGGCCATACAAGTTTTCAAGCAAGCTTGAAGAAGATGAGAATGTCCAGAAGAGTTCTCAGGAGAATCATAATGACAACTCATCCTCGGAGGAGACACACAAGTCATGAGAAGCAATAAGCTTTGTAAATATAGACTTTGGAGAGTCACACTTGCGTTCCAAGAAACTGTGAGATACTTTTTTTTGTAATGGACTTTCAAAAACCTAAATCTATGTTTCTTTATTTGCAATTCCATTGAGTGAGAAAGATATTGAATCTCAAATCTTCAACATTGAGTAGTTATTAGATTAATGTTGATTACAAAACAAAGGAATAACAAAAAGAGACCAAACCAAAATGTTATCTCAGAACCAAACAAAAAAGTAGATGAAATGTTTAGTACACAGAGCAAATGAAGATGGAATCAAACGTAACACAAATCATGTAGAATCCTTAGAAGGAGCAGAAGCTTGAGCACCAAAGGCAAAGTAGTCTGTGATAACCTCCAAAGGCATACCTTTAGTCTCCGGAACCTTCAAGTAAACAAACACCCACGAGATCACACAAACCACAGCGTAGATACTGAACACACCAACGAGTCCTATCGAGCTGAGGAGAACAGGAAGCGAGTAAGTGACTATAATGTCACATATCCAGAACACCATAGCGCAAATGGCTATGCAAAGACCACGAACTCTTGTCGGGAAGATCTCAGAACAGAGGATGTTTGGAATAGGACCGTAACCCATCACGAAGAAGCAGATGTAAAGCACAACGCAAACCGTTGAAAGGGCTGCGTTAACAACTTTGCTGATGTGGACTAGCTCGCTGACGAAGAGGACGACAAGTGAGACGATGAGGACAGGGATCGTCCAGAGAAGTAATGCCCTGTCAAGACAAAACAGAACATGAGTAAACAATGGGATTAAGACATAACCATGGAACATAAGCTAGTAAAACATTGGTTTATAATCCAAAATTTTAAGAAAAATAAAATAATATATATATATATATATAGGCTTTAAATTTATAAAAATGAATATAAATCTTTAATTAAATTATGTATATCCTCCGCCCAAAATTTCAGAATCGACCAGTAAAAAATTGATTTATAGTCCAAAATTTTAAGAAAAAAAAAATATATATATATATATAGGCTTTAAATTTATAAAAAAAATGTATATAAATCTTCATTAAATTATGTATATCCTCCTTCCAAAATTTCAGTATCGACTGATAAAACATTGGTTTATAGTCCAAAACTTTAGTTGTTCAAAAAAAAAATAGTCCAAAATTTTAAGAAGAAAAAGATATAAGCTTTACATTTATATAAAATGTATAATAGCTGGAAGCATGAGGAAAGTTGTTAATGTACCTTCTTCCGGAGACATCCATGAGTCTCATGGCAACGACAATAGCTGGAAGCATGAGGAAAGTTGTTAACCCACTGATTAGGAACGAGGCCGAGATGGAGCTTAGACCGAAGCTTGAGAGAAGAATGTCTACACCAGCACGTTCAAGAATCTGTGGAGTGTAGTAAAGAACTCCATTGATACCTGAGAACTGCTGTAGTATCTGAATCCCAACACCAACAACCAACGCACGCTTCACACCAGGTTCAAGAAGTGCCGACCAGAGTGGTCCAGCGGGAGCTTCCACGACAGATCCATGGACCGATTTAGGACCAAGAATTGATCTACTAACAAGTGCTGAAGCGTGAACGTAGCCGCCTCCATCTTGACCACCAGGAAGAGAAACGATCGAGCCACGGCGAGATTCTACACCGTCTTCTTTAATGTAATAACGTTTGTATTCACCGTTTTCGTATCTATATCCCATGTGCCAACCACTACCAATCCCTATACTGTTTTCGCCGTTAAGCGTGCTGTGACGTCTCATGGTCAGCGTGCTTCCTCCTGTAGGGTGTGGGATCGTGTCCTTGTCCATGCTTGTTGTCTGACGTGACATCAAGGGGCTGCGAAGATCGTTATCCGAGTCATCATCAGCTGCGTTGTCATCGGTTGCGTAGTCATCATGGTCTTTGTTGAATTGGCTCTCTACGTCTTTCTCCCAGTGAGCTGGTTTCACGTGAGGCAAGTCGGCGTTAGTGCTGAACATGCTTCCGAAGTTAGTGAAGATCCCACTCTTTGGGTTTCCACCTGATTCAGGAAACTTCTCGTGGAGACTGTCGAAGAGACCCACGAGCGGGTCTTTGTGGATCCCGCTTTGGGTTTGGGTTGCTAAGCTTCCGTGGCGAGAACGTAACCCGAGTGAACTGTGTTGGTCATTGGCAGGTCTAGCAATGTAAGATTGGTTCTCGTGTGTTCCGAGAAGTCTCATTTGTCCGTCCTCATCAACGGTTTCAAGTGTTTCATGATCCTCCGTCGTTACTAAGAGATCCTCTAGTGTTTTCTCTCCACCAATATCAAGTCCTTCAACAAGCAAAGCCAACTCATCTGCCAAAACATAACAAAAAAAACCCGTTAATAGCAGCAATGTCCGGTTCTAGACAAAGCCGGAATTAAACATTCACTTTGACCCTCAAATTTTAAAGAGATATTACATATAATCTACGAATTTTTTATTTATTAATCTAAAAATGTTTTATGATCTTCTAAATTTCAGAGTCGGCCCTGAAGTAACTATAACAAACAAAGATAGGGAAAGAAGCCTTACCGTTAACATCTTCTCTGCCATACAACTGTTGAAGAACCTTCTTAGCCTCATCCATTCTCCCTTTACTAACCAGCCAACGAGGAGACTCAGGCAAATAAAAAACTGTGAAGAGCAAATACACAAGAGAAGGTATCGAGAGGACACCGAGCATGACTCTCCAGCTAGGAGCATCGCTGAGGGACATAGCGAAAACCATACAGTAAGACAAGAACATTCCACCAGAGCCAAGAAACTGAGGAAGAGTGTTGAGCTGTCCTCTGATCTCTGGAGGGGCAGTCTCAGAGATGTAAACAGGGACAAGGGTAACGGCAAGACCGGCACCAAACCCATCAAGAAGCCTAGCTAGGCACAGGACATACACGTTTGGAGACCATAACATTATCAAACCGCTGAGGAAATACATGACTGATGATAGAATCAGCATGGGGCGTCTCCCTAGCCAATCAGAGATGGGTCCAGAGCAAGTTGTGATGACCGTTGCACCGATCAATGACATTGCTACCACAAGACCTTGAACAGAGGTTGCTAGATTCATATCTTTGTTGATATAGATCATTGCTCCTACAATCAAACATCATTACAAAAAGATTGTAACAACAATTAAAAAAAAAAAAACATTGTAACAACTGATCTGATCCAAACATTATTAATATGTAAGAGAAGAGTTACAAACCAGCAATGGTGGCATTGTCCCATCCTTGCAAGAAATTGCCGATAGTGGCGGCGAGAGCAACGAGGGTCGCTCCCTTCATTGTTCAACCAATACCTAAACACACCAAACCAAAATTCAGAACAGTTCGATTCCAAAATGATTCAATATATCAAACTTTTAGTCAAAGGAAAGACTTATAAAACTTTCCAAATCAAGATCTAAGTCACAGTCAATTCACAATAGGATTAACTCAGAAGATTTAGTAAGACTAGACTAAAAGACCTTTAATACATAAGTGAAAAATGCAGTAACCTAGGAGGGAAAATAATTAATTTTCTGTTTTCCTGAGCAAAGAAGCTTATGTGAATGAAAGCAAAGAGATTTTATAAAACAAAAAAGATTGTGTCACTTTCTGGGGAAAGGTGTTTACCTTTTCTTCCTCTGAAAGTACAATTCTCTGGCACTCACGAGGAACGGAACTCTTTTTTTATTTTTTGCTTTGCCTTTTCGTCTCCGATTTATAAAATCAAGAAAGAGAAGAGGCCTTGATTGATTTGGACACGTTTGTTATTTGCCAACTTTGGAGATCAACTTTTATTTTCAAACAGCTCTGGAGATGGAATCTACAATGAGGACAAGTAATGGTTTTCAAAATTATTGCTACAAAACGAAGTAAACAAAAAAACAAATCATTGCTACCACCATACCAACAAAAGTTTTATTATTTCTTTAAAAAGAAAAAAAAAATCTCACTGCATGGGATGTAACTTTCTTTTTTTTATTCAACCCGAAATCAAGACAAAGAATTGCATTTACATACACAGTAGTTCTTCTTCTCGGTGGGTAGAAGAACCCTGTGGTGGAGAAGCGATTTATGAGGATTGTGTAGTGTTTTCGAAACATTTATAAAGAAGAGTCGAATAGAAATAAGCCCATATGATAATCTATGTCACTATCAAAACTCCGATGTAAAGATCTAGAGAAAACTGTATGTGACTGAATACATATTAATAACAAATCATTGTCATGACTCATCTATGAGTAGATTTTGTAGGAAATTAATTAAAAGGGGCCGGGGTCCGTCCGTCACGACATGGATCACGATAGAGAGGATAACATTTTTGTTCTTCGTCAAAATGATATTATTATTTTATTGTTCTGAAAGTTACATTTTCAAATCTATCGTTAAGTGGTCCGGTTGTCTATCATCTTCGTGTAAAAGTTGGACCTTTTTGTCGTCACCTTTTTTCGTATTTACTAGATCATCAAATTTATGAGCACCTGTTTTTGAGTAATATAACTGAAATGTAATTAATGATACTAAAATTTCAATTGTCAGATGTATTAGACAAATAATTTGTTTAATATATATTTTATTTAGTTTCTATGCATAATTTGTTCTATATTTTTATCATGATCATATCTATTTTTCTTTTATATATAAGAAAAAAATGTAATTACCAAAAAAATTTAATGTACCAAAAGTTTTTGAAAACTAACTAATTAGAATATAAATATAATGATTTAAATCAATAAAATGGAAGTTATATTTAATAATGTACGTATTAACTAATGATAAAATTAGGTATAGTTATTAATTATGACCGAATATAATGTGCATCATAGAAATTTATAGAAATATTATTTTCTGAAACACATATTTGATTTTAGAAAATTCATTTAGATCCAAATATTGACAAAAAATAAACAGACATTATATTGTAGCTTATATTTAATTAGAAAGTAGAAAAACATGCTGGACTTTCTCCATAGAAATTATATTATCTTTTTAACTATCTGCTAACATTTGTAGTATACTGGTTTGTGTTAAAATCAATTCAAATCCACATAATTATATATTGTTAATGAACAAAATATATACCCTCATATGTTTCCAGGGTCCAATTCCCATATAAA